GTGCGTCCACATTCATACGCTGACTGACAGCTCCGCTGAAGTTAAACCGTAAAGTGACAGGATCAGCGGTCCAGCCCCTCGCCACTGGCGAGCATATTGTCACGCAGTATGTGTGTCACTATAGACGGGGTTTGGATTGGTGACTCGATTTATTGGTCACTTACTCATACACTCATGACTTGTAACTAGACTTTACAGATGACTGACACACACAGACTTGTTTCCTCAGTCTATTATTTTCCACTAGCCGTTTCCTGGCAACGGATTTGAACACAGAAACTATAATGAATGTATGAGGGGTAGGCCTCCTCGGCCCTTGCACCGCGACCTACAGTGGTCTATTGTGCTTAAGAAACTATAATAGTTTCACTGAACCACATACTCCAAACATCACACATAGTCTTAGCTTTACACTCTCTCTACACCTACATTAAGCTATAAAATGTTCCTGTGCAGAAATTAAAAAAAAAAAAATCGCGAATTGTTTAATTGGCCGCAGCTAGATTTTCCGAAATCACCTATATTACATTCTACTGACTTGCCAAAACTGTGCATGGATAAAACTGTATTTTAAATAATTTGTGAACTCTGCGACCCCACTTAGTGTAAATTGTATAAACTGCGCCGCTTTGGGTAGTCGCGACCCAAAGATGGAGCATGACTGACCAAGCAGCCAACAGAGTTTCTACTTTTATAGGACCTGAAGGTTCATCACCGTGTTCACAGAAACTCTTCAAGGGGCAAAGTGGGCAGCTACCCCGCACCCACGCGAGGGTCGGTACCATGTGTCTGAACTTCCCTTTACTCTCCCCACTCCACTTTGTGACCCTAAGATAACCGTTACTTTTGAAAAGTTTATTTACGTGATCTATACATCCAGTCCCCCATACGTCTTCATGTCATAGTGCATAGGGAGACTCCCCTCCCCCCTTTACCTCTTATTTACAGAACCTTAAACTAATAAAACTTAACTCCGTGGCTTTTAGTCCGCGAGCGAACTATGCCGACCGAGAGACCGCCGCCTGTCGGCGAAGTTAGTGACAATTTTTGCGGATAGAGGGTGTCGCGTGGTCAGCGCAACGGATTCCCACGGCCGTTAGTCTCGGTTTTCTAGACCGGAGCCGTATTTCGTTGAAATAGCTCCTCAATTAAGCTCACGAGACTGAGTGGACCCCGTTCCACACCCATTACTCCTCAGAAAATCTGGTAACGCTGGGAATCGAACCCGGACCTGTAGCTAGGAACTCTGACCACTAGACCACAGAGGCGGCCTATTTACAGAATCTTAGAAGTCCTTAATGAATAGTTCAGTACTAAGTTCACTTAACATACCCGTATGTGGCAGTGGACACACAAAGTACGTACTTCTTTTGCGTTGGATGTTCGGAATTTCAAATTTCTGGCTTGAAGGTACAAAGCGTTAATGGGCCTACTGTGAAGTGTTACGGGTTCTTATGGAGATGGCTGCGAGGAGTGTTATTTTCGGGGATGTGACGCCGTGTAGTCAGGCACGAGTTTAATAGCGTTTCGGAGGAACCTACTGTCTCTACTTTCAAGCGCTGCTTGCATGGCTTACTCTTTCACCCTGAAGACGGAAGCAGTACGTTCCTCCGAAACATTATTAGACTTATGCCTGACCACACGGCGTCTCATCACAGAAACCAGTTCTCTTCACAGGCCCAGAATGTTTTCAAAATTACGATCTCTCTCATGCTGAAGTTTCCCAGCCGACATATTCTAAGCATTTCTAGTCAGTTCTATAAGACAGAAATTTTCTTTCAAGAATACCACTACATTACATAAGCCTACATATATCCCAAAAATGGGCCCCATTTACTTGCTAACCAGTCTCGCCACTTAACGGAATCTACATACACAAGTAAAAAACACCGGTCAGTATATCCAGTCACAAGCACAAATGCCCGTTCTCTATCTGAGATATGGCTGCTTTGCTTGCTCACGAGGCTGACTGGACCCCGTTCCATACCCACTACTTCTCAGAAAATCTGGTAGCGCCGGGAATCGAACCCGGACATCTGGATCTGTAGCCAGGAACTCTGATCACTACACCACAGAGGTGGTCGCTGACATAGTGAGCTCCATGCAGGATTACCGAGTTTCTGGACTTCGTCCATGGTCTTGTATTCAGAACGCAGATGTTTCTGAAACAGGATATTTTCCTTCCTCAGGAAAAAGTTCTTATTTCTGAAACACCTGCTTTCTGATTATGAGACCATGGATGAAGATCCTGCATGGAGCTCATTATGTAGTTCTCTTACTCCCTCTTAGGTAGAAATATCCTTACACTCAACCCCCTGTTCTCAAAAGACTTACATAACAAATGGTAACTCAACAGGATTTCATTAGCCGATGAATGAAACTCCAAACACTTCTATGTGACTAATTAGCAAGTTAAATGGAAACAAGCTACAAGGTTGAGCGCAGTGTATGTGAGTGAAGTTTGTGTGCTGAACTCCGTGGATGTGAATGTGAAGGCGAGAAATGTTGGTGAAGGGACTAGTTCTGCTGTTTGTGGTCACTCACGTGGTTGACAACTGTGATGGCCGACACCGTGGGAAATCAGGACCCGGACTTTCGGTCGTGGATGAGCTGCGACTGGAATTACTAGACTTAGTTCATGACTTGTGGAATGACGTGAAAGACCCTCGATGGGTGGCTTTAGCAAATGACACTCTTGGAGGAGCAGATGTAGAGTTGCTTCGTGCCTTTCAAACGTTGGGAGATACTTTGGAAAGTAGGCAACCACCAGGTGTGGCTAAAGCAGGGTCAGAACTGGCTTCACTGTGGCAATGGGCAAGGGCAGAGGCAGAACTTAAGGGAATTGACGCCCTGCACACCTCGTTCAGGAGGTTCCAGCAGCAGCAGACTCGGGGAGATAAACTTCCCGCTCCCCAGAGGGCATGGACCGATCTCGCAGAGACTATACTCCAGGATCCAACTTCATCTGTACCTCAAGCTTTATCAAGACTGGATGAGATCATTGAGAACAAGAAGGGAGGTGAAGGAGATCTGTTCCAGCAGGCTTTGAAGGTAAGGTATAGAAATGCCAGGCTGGCATAAGTCGCTGGTAGGTGTGAGAGTATCTCATGAAACCTCACACAGATTTTCAGAGTAGTCAAATCGAGGGAGTCGGGGGGGCATGTGGCTTGGATAAGACGAGAAAGGTATTCAAATGTTTTGTATGGAAACTTGAGAACGAAGGGTGGGGATGAGCAAAATGTGAGGTCCTGACCTGGATTGGAGTGGTTTAGGACATGTCTAATGTTGAGCTTTAAAACGAGTTAAACCAGAGGAGAAACAAAACATCCATTTTCACAAGAGCAAAGCAAATATTCTGATAAATCTAAGAGTATCTGTTAAAATTTTAAGTATTATACCTCATAGGTTTGCTGACTTTAATGGTTGAAATACTGTGAACTTGGCCACTTAGAAGCGCTAATCTAAAACTGTATGGACGTGTAACTATTTCATGGCAACAAACAAGACCTGGTACAGCAAAACACTGGTAACTAGAAACCACGTGGAATCATCTTACCCAAAATCCAAAATCTGGTTAAATTTGTTATCAATCAACATAGCTTGAATGCAAACATGCTCATTCACTTGAAAAATAAAAAAGTGTGGGTATGAGATCGACTAAAACTAGCGATGTTGATTTGCTGTATCTCCTCCATACACAAACACACATAAATTGCTGACCAATATAGGGAGGTGGCCAGCTGTAAGCTTTTTCCGTCTCCACATTACCCCTTGAAGCCTGAAACTTCCAAAGTCAGTTCCAACCTCACATAAAACACAATGCAATTCTTAAAAGGCCAGTCCCTACATAAGAGGAAATACTGCTCCTCTAATTTAAAGAGTAAGTGATTAATGCTGCTTTTGTTAGAATCGTACAAGACAAATGAACACACACTGTGGGCAAAATGCACGCTTCCTCAATACTGAAGTGGGTGGTACATATAGTAACCATTATGCTTTCAAGGATTAAACTACAGCACCTAAAAATGTATTACATGACAGCAGATGGCAATCAGAAAATATCAGAAGAATTAGATGTAACAAATTTTTTGCCTAAGAGTGTGTACAAGAAAGTATGAAAAATTAAAAAGTTGAATCTCAGTATAGTGATACTGTTGAGATAAAAATATCTGGCTAATCATAATGTGCACTTTATTATTGCAAGTATCTGTAGGAAAAAGTGCCTTATATTTATATGACAGTGGTAACTATATATACCTCTGCTTTAACATTAAGCAAACTATATTTTACTCACAGAGTGTATTTACATGTTCTGTGATGCACAGAATAAAGAGCAGTGACTGTTCATTGCAACACACACAGTTTTGTTTCGTTGAGGTCAAAAAATGAATTTTTGAATATTATTTAAACACACTTCAGGATTCAAAGCATTAGTACATTACATTAACTCATGACCCATATCAAAGTTATGACATTTTAGGTTCTCAAAATGGTAAATATGAGGATTAAGAACTTCTGGGTTGTGACGTGTAGGTTAGTAGACGGGTACCAACATTTCAGAGGAACCCGCTGCCTCCCTTTTGTGGGCAACAGGAGGCTATACACTGTTGGGAACACTGGTACATATCTACACAAGTACATGGCATCACATTCCAGAAGACTATAATCTTCATATCCAAGTTCCAATATCCTGTGAGGTTTGAGGTTCAAGTATGTGGTGGCTATGAAGAGTCCCATCTTCTGATTTATTACGTTGTGTAGCCTGGCAGATGTTTACTGAAGTTTCAGAGGAATGTATTATTTCCATCATCAGGATCTATGATTTAGGCCAAGCAAGCAGCAATCCTGCTTGTTTGGGTTACTGTAGTCTCTGGCGATCAAGGCTCTACATCCCTCTCAAACATCAGTAACCGTTTACCAGACTATATGGCATGATGTTCCAGAAGATTGTACTATTATTATTGACACTTGTAAACAAAGGTATGGGATTACTATTGCAGGAATCGCGGTCAAACAGGTGCAACCTACAGCAGTCTCCTCAGCAACTACTGTACAATCTCTACAACTCCGTGGCCATCACAGAGCTGAAGGGATATGCCATGATGCAGTTCTCATGGATGTTATTGCGCCTATATAAGAAAGGTATGCAGTCTCTGTAGCTTGCTATATGGCATATTCCACAAGATAGAACTCTTCAAGTTCATTATGATGAATCAGCAAGAAGCTGATGTAACTATACCGTGGAAATGCACTATATTCATGTTGCTGAAAGTACAAGTGCCCATAAGATGTCAGACACAGAGAATGTTAAGTAACCAATCATTTAAAGGGTCAAAGGTGTTTGACTTGAAGTGGCATGCAGTTATATAGAAAGAACAACAAGTTATTTATAATGACTTGAAGCTTTCTTTAAGTTGATAAAATCTTCCTGGGGGGGGGGGGAAGCTGTGTCAGACTACGAGTAATGTCATATTATTCTGATGATGGAGGTTGAGATTGTATAAAATATGATGGACTTGTTTATGAACTGATATGGCTGGACATCCTAAGACATTTTAATACATTATTTAGAATCATGGTTTTTAAGCACAAGAAGACAGAATGTTAAAATTATCTTACAGATGTGATACAGTGTAGAATGTGGCTTGAATGCAGCACAGGACAGGAATCACTCCTGAATTGTCATATTAGATTTACAGATAATATGGATCTTCTCTGAGCATCGTTTCAGTTCTATATGGATTGACGAACGAAAAATCTCCAGTCTCTTCTTCCATCCCACAATTCTCTCTTTTCGTGATCCTGTCTTCTTGGTATCTTCCAGTACCTAGCTGCACCACCTTGTTCTGTCCGGTTTGCACGACCAAACCATTGTAATAATTTCTCTTCAAACTCCAGTAAGAACTACCGACTTTCAGCATCTTCCTGTCATTTTGAAAGCATTAGTGATGCCCAAGGAGCACACTAGCGTGGTTGGTTAAGGCACTATGCTACAAGCTGGAAGGTCACAGGTGTGATTCATGATGAGGTCGCTAAATTTTTCAATTGACCTAATCCTTGCAGCTGCACTATGGACCTGGGGTCAACTCAGCCTCTAACCAAAATCAGTACCAGGAATCTTCCTGGAGGTAAAGGGCAGCTGGAGTCTAAGGCGAACAACCTCACTGCCATGTGTGAGCCAATCGTCTAGAAAATGTGGGAGCCTTGACGTCTCACAGGGCCTCCATGGCCTGTTACAGGGATACCTGTACTTTTACATTTACCTTTATCTTACTGATGCCCAGTGTTGCCCTGTTGAGGCTGTCATGGCCTCATTAGAGTCCATTAGCCATCCTTTACAGGATTCCTGTTGTGCTTTCTCAGCTTATATAGCAGTACTGTGACTAATGCTGATTGATACTTAGGCTATTTAACAGTATCTCAAGTACAGAGGTGGTACTTGTATATTGCCAAACAGGATGGGTAGATGATCATATTGTGGCATGTAGACCTGATGCTAGCCAACGACCGCGAAACAAGCAGCTATACAACAGCCATTGCTAAGTAATGGCTCTGTAAACAATGACCATTGTTAGGTAATGGCTGCAACAATAGAAGAGCTGTTAGAAGTGGCAGTCTGTGAAGAGGCCATACATATAACGAGGTCCAGCTCCTATTAGATGAGGGTCTTAAGTTATTCAATTAGAAGAGTATAAGGTTGGTGTGAGATGGCCGCCAGCCTGGGAGTTAGTTGTGAGACGGTTGCTGGCCAATAAGGTAGTGAACATGGAAGCTGAGGGATTGGAAGCCATTACCAGGCAGCAACCAATGAAGATACAGCAGACTGAGAAGATTTTGTATGTGCTATAGTGAACTGCAGTGTGTGTAAATTAGCATTAGTGCTGTAGTAATTTGTACTCTTACTTACATTCTGTAAGTGCCCAATAAATCCAATTACCAATCCAAACCCAATCTACAGTCACTCAGTTACGTGGCAATATATAGTTATTAGGTTGAGGATTTGGTAGGATGTGGTTGACCTATTTCAAAGGTACTGTCCCTAGATTATTTAACGATGCTCTTTCAAATGCAAAGCTTATTCACCATCAAATGATAAGTAGGTAAGCAGGTAAGGAACTGGGAAGATGTAATTGTAGTTTACATCATAATATCCCATGTAGTAAGATGGAGAATGAGAAATGTCAGGATGGCTGGCTGCCTCACACTTAAATCTCTGATGGTACAGCGATATCTGAGGCCGTGGGTACAAGTTTATATAGTCTTCTGGGATGCGATGCTGTGTAGTATGGTATGTAAGTATGAATGTTTTAGAAGAACTTCCCTCCAGTCTTGTTACTGATACTGAGATATGAGCCCATAGCTACTTGTTATTGTATATGCATTAGATTAGGGATGACATCACATCAAGAAGACCACTTGCATGTTCTCAAGAGTTACATTAACATATTATTTACAGGCAACTTCACAGTTGAGGCCGAGCTGATGCAGGAACGCTACGAAGAGAGAACAGCACAGAAAGTTGCTGCCGTGAAGGACGCCATGAGCATTGCAGAACGAGACATGTGGAGATGCGACCCAAGAGAACACAGAGAGGGCGAAACATATGTGGAGCTGACACAGCTGCTGCAGGGCCAAGTTCAGAATGAGGTGGACATGAACAGTGAGTCCACCTGCAGGGAGAACTGTGCATACTACAGTTATGCCAAGAGCCATGGCTGCTACAACAGCAATGTCTGTGCCAAACAGCCGCGTTGCAATGGCAAGTTGATTGACTGCAGGTACATCGACTCCGATATGTGGGTGTGCCAAGCGGTGAGTTACTTGTGTACATTGCTATCCATTCCAATGAGTGCTTTGTAGCATACAGTAAGCCTGAAGTCATTAAGCATATCTGTAAGCGTGTCTCTCGGGCTTACTCAACTTTCCATCCAATTGGTACATGCTCCCGGGGGCTCATACCATGGGTGTAAAGTTGCTGAAGCACAAAGTTAACCACCCTTGCCATCTATAATGAGGCCAAGGAAATATGTCCCACANTAAGTCATTAAGCATATCTGTAAGCGTGTCTCTCGGGCTTACTCAACTTTCCATCCAATTGGTACATGCTCCCGGGGGCTCATACCATGGGTGTAAAGTTGCTGAAGCACAAAGTTAACCACCCTTGCCATCTATAATGAGGCCAAGGAAATATGTCCCACATATTTCCTTTTAGCTGTTACATATCCCACTCTAGTACACACTCCAGATTCGTCTCCGGCTGTCTTACCACTCTATTAATCAGAATGTTGCTAGTGACAAGAACTTTGTGCTGGTTGACAGAGAGCAGGAGGAACTGCAGCAGAATACAGTGGCAGACAGAAAGGCGCAAGCATCGAGCACCATCACTCCCATCATCCATGTGACTTCTTTCCGTGGCCTCATTAAAGTGATCAGACATATACAGATCAAAACTAAGTAGATATCAATGGACCCTTCTGTGGCCTACTTTATGATGCATTCAGCATCTAGGCTACATAGCACTGAATGGTATGATAACTGGTTTTTGCATGACAGAGGCACCATCTCGGGCTTTGCCTGCAGGGACTAACCCCCCCCCCCCANAAAAAAAAAAAACTTGCAGTCAGACTGCCAGTCTTATGACCAAGACAGAGATGGAGTGCCTTGCAAATCGTTTTCTGAAGAGTGAGAAGAGTCTTTTTCCATCATTCCCTTCTCTTTCCTCTCCTGCTATGTCTCCACTTTCTCCTTTCATTTCCTTTATTACTCAACTCTTCTCCATCCTTCCTCTTAAGTTTATATTTTTCTTCTCTACCTTCAAGGACCGGGATAGCGTAGTTGATAGAGCGACTGGCTATGGGCTGGATGACCAAGTCCCAGTAGGGTCAAGAATTTTCTCTTCTCCACATCATCCACACGGGCTCTGGGGTCTGCCCAACCTCCTATCCAGTGGGTATCGGGGGTTGTTTCCCCAGGGGTAAAGCGGCCGAAGCGTGAAGCTGACCACTTACCTCAAGTTAGTGTTGAGGTCAAGAATATGTGGATCTAGTATATACATCCACTCACCCATACACCTTCATGGCACAGTTATTAATTAATTAAGCAAAGGGACGACTTTGACCCTTTACCTTTACGTTCTCCTCTTTCCTCATATCCTTCACCTGCTGCCTTTCTTGCACCTTCTTCAGTCCCTATTTTTATTCTCCTTTTCTTTCCCTTCTATATCTTCATCTTATACATCTCCTACCTCTTTTTTAGACATTCTGGTCAACACAGTTGTAGGTTCAGGATCTGAGAGGGATTATGATGTGTGAAGAATGCTTCTGCCTCACAGCGTGGCCCTGTGACACAGGTTCAGCATTACTATCACATGACACTCCCATTCTGTATACAGGACAGCAAAAGCGACCGTCGCTACACCTATATCGAATATGAGAACGGACGTATCCTTGGGAAGAGAGGTTCATGTGAGCGAGGACTAACGAAGGTGGACAGCTGGTGGCGCTGGCTGTTCTGGCATTGTTCATATTGCTTCTGTCTATGTGATGAACAGGGGCCCAAGTCTGATCGGTACTTCAATCTCCGAGAGGTCAAGGCAGATGTTGCCAATAACAAGTAAGCAGTTTCTCATTTGCTTGTTGCAAACAATCAGTTTCTAAGCTATAATGTCTATTCCTTTTTTCATGATATTCCAGAGAACATTCATCAACAATATGGTAGTGACACCACCCTCTCATTCCATGCCACATATATTTTACTTAGCGTTTATTTGACAACACTGTCTCTAACTGGAAAGGATGATCTGTTTCGGTCCTTGTCGTGATGGCTACAGCAGCCATCACGACAAGGACTGTAACAGATCCAGCAACATCAGAGGACACAGAAGAACAGTGAGACCTCCAAAAAGTGACAAGTGCAATCAATATAATAAAATTGAACTTTAATTCATGAACTTTTAACCAATAATATAATTAAACTAGTTAAAGTGAACTTGATGCAGTTATGAGCGTAAGTAGGAAGTGACTGAATAACAAGTGAAAGTGACAGCATAACTAGTGATCTGAATCAAAATTCGATTCACAAATTTTAAATTTTAACTTTTGACATTTAGAATAATATTTTAACTTGTGTTTTGTGAGAGGAGCTTGATATATTATTGAGCGTGGGCCTGAATAAGATACAGGATCGAATAAGTGAGAAGACGAATGTGATTGCGTGTAATTATACAGCTGTGTTCGTACACCTGAGGATGACCTCTTGAGGTCGAAACATGTAGTGTAATAATAATAAAAATATGTTGTGTGGTCAGTAAAATTGACTTTAATAGTGACACTCTGTAGTGTTCATGTCAGTGCATTAGTGATTGTATTGTGTGAGAGTCTGCATGAAAGAATCGGAAAATGTGAGACTTGGCTTATTTTAAAAGGACAGATTGTTGTTGTGCATTTAGCTGGAGCAACTCTGACAAATTATGAGATGTATTGAGGGCGTAGGTTTTAAGAATATGTCATCATACACGAATCATGGGAAAACAACATCAGCAAAGAGGAACAGTGGGAAAAAATCAACACTGGCAGAAAGAGATAGTCATACATTGAGAAGGGCTGTTTCAGCAATAGTGTAGAAGCTATATATAACCCTCATCATTTGGTCTGTGACAGAAAACAGAAGAGAATCATAATGGCAATCAGTGTGCTGGTATAAATAACTTCATGAAGCTGAGCCCTTCTTGAGAAGCCGCCAATTGTGCAAACTTCCCAGCACAAGAGACCTCCACTGGTCACTATCCTGATTCAGATCAAGCCATCCTACCTCTCTAAGATCCATTTTAATATTATCCACCCACCAGCGTGTTGGTATACCTAGTGTTCTCTTTCCTTCTGGCTTTGCCACCAATAGCATATATGCATTTGCCTTCTCCCGCATTCGTGCTGCATACCCTGCCAAACTCATCCTCCTTAACTTGCTCATTCTAATTATACTTGGCAAAAAGTAAAAGTTATGAAGATCCTCATTATGCAGTTTTATTTTGCTAGTATAATATCATAAAAGAATCAACAAACAAACTCCTTGGTTTTAGTCTGCAAGCGAACTATAAGAATACCAAATATAAATCTGTCTTGCCATGGCAACATGTTATGCGGTTCTTCAAACATACATACTGTGGCAGGTAGACCCATCGCTAGGCAACTACACAACAGCCGCTCCTCAGTAAGAGCCCATAAACAGCAACAGAGGATCGGTGTTTTCTGCGTGGTCTATTCCAATGGCTGTGCATGCAACAGTGGAATGATGTTTTCTACGTGGTCCATGCTGACATGTTATAAGTAGGCCGTTAGTGAGGAGTTGGTCGGTCGGTGAGTTAGATAACCAGTTGCGTTCAGTCATTGTGAGTTGTTGCTCTTAGAAGCTGGCAGCCAAGGCCAGGGACAGTTCAGGAACCCACAGAAAGGGGAATGTCTGCCATTGGAAGCCATTAGCAGATGAGTGGTGAAGACAGAGCAGGCTGAGAAGACTTAAGTATGTGCTCTAGTGAAGTGTAAAGTGTGTGAATTAGTGAAACGGTTATAATTACTTGTAGTCGTGGATCTGCAAAAGTTCAGTAAATCCAATTACCAATTCAAACCCCATCTACAGTCATTAAAAACGTGACAATACTATCTTCTGGGATGCGATTCAATTAAAATTCATAATTGCTTTCTGATTTCACCTGAGAAAACTAAGCCACGATGTTATATATTGCGCAGGACAGAAACAAACTGTAATTAGGTCGAGATTCAGTACGTGTGATATACATGGTCGGCCAACAGCAGTATGATGATGGACAGTTGGTACTTCACTGCTATTAAGTGGAAAATGATCTTCAATTTCCTCGTTAGACATCAAGTACTCACTGTTATTACTGCATCTGCATTGTACAAAGGAAGTGTGTGACGCGGTACATTTAAACGCTACTGCCAGTACGTTACACACTCAATTTCCTGTTCAGCAACCATTTTAGAAACCCTACAGTGTAATGAAATGCCAAACCAACTGATTGAATTTATTACAACATACCACAGCAACATTCTGCTGTTTCAAAGACTGTACATACACTCTCACGCAAACAACATACAGCATAAGGTGGAGTCCAGCTGGGTCCACTCAGCACAGCAGCCACTGATTGGCCTACTGTACCTGCCCCGGGTGATTATAATGGAGAATTTGGTGGAATGAAGATTGGCAGGGGAAACCGAAGTACTCGGAGAAAACCCACCCCAGCGCCACTTTGTCCACCACAAATCCCACTTGACCAGACCCGGGATCGAACCCAGACCGCCACAGTGGGAAGCCAGCAACTAACTGCTTGAGGTATGGTGTGGCCAACTACAGCATAAGGTAATCAAGGGGACTGTGATTTACATAAAACAATCTTAATGGTTTTATTCCTCTACAGTTTCAGTAAGGTAGTTTAACTATTATTAGTTGTGTGTTGCATTGCTTTTCTTAAATACCAATAAGGAAAATGGCCACTTTGAGCATCTAGGCGTAGAGAGGAGGATAATATTAAAATGGATCTTGGAAAAAACGGGATCAGACTCAGCAAGCTGACTCAAGTGATAACATACCTCCATGCCCCCACCACTGCCACCACATTTGAGAAAGTAGCTGAACTTCTTACCAGGTAGAACAGAAACTATTCAAAGGGGTCTCGAGGTACAGCTACTCACAAAGTAAAAGCCTGTTGTGTTTGAAGGTCTATGATGATGTTTCATTAAACCAGTACATATATAACTGGACACTGTCCACAATCATGTTTTTTGCTAAAGAAATCTGATGTTCCAAAGACTGGTTCTGCTACTGTAATCTGATCAAAATATGAAATGTGTGTCCATTAGCTTCATACTTCACCTGTTGTCTGGATATGGAGATTAACTGCCTCTACACAGAAGGGAGCACCTAATGGTTGGGTATCACCATGCATGTGCCCATTAACCTACACTCCTGATCGAGTCATCGATCATGCCAACCAATTACCAGTTCATTTTGCTCCTCTGGTGCAGTTACATGGATTCTCACCATTTTTATATTTCAACACAGGGTAGTGACAGGACTGCGGTTTGTGAAGGAGAATCGAGTGATCCACCTGCAAATTCAAGAAGCAGGACTTCTGCCTCGGGGAGAGATAAACATGACATCAGTGCAGTGGCGACCCGTTGACAACTACAGAATATCAGATTCTGATGTGTATAATGGGAAAGACTACCACACTCTGAGCTGGGAACAAAGAGCAATCGACCTCGATGATCTTGTGGCTCCTAGTGGGTCTGTTCTGACAGGTAACGTTCAGATTGTTAGCAACTACAAACAGGAACTTACTGAAGAAGATGATCTTCTAACTCTGTAAGGTCTTTGTATTAACATGGTACAGATGTAGCCTCACTGGCTGTTACAAACGTGGGTTGGCCAGCCAGCCAAGGTACGTGATGGGAGGGGAAGGCTGCAAAGTGAGACAGCAGATATGGAGAGAACCCAATCCCTTCTTGTACCCCCCCCTTATCCTGTCCTGTCTACTCTTCCCCACCTTGTGTAACATAGCTCAGGCTGGGATGTATTTTGTATCAAGTGCAAAGTACAGTTACAATGGTGGCAAGTGACAGCGGCCATCTCAGCACTGAAAACTACCTGACCATTTGCAAATTATGTGGCAGAACCAGGAATGAAGATTAGTTCACTCGGTTCCCTTCTAGTCTCTGCAAGATGTGAGATCTGAGATTATAAAAATAATCAGTCCTCAATAATTATCAGTATATTTGACAATTCCATGACCTACACTTCTGCTGTACAGAGATGAAACATTCCCAGTATGTTAGACATGGAACAAAGATGACTCAGCTGCTCACGACCTGGCCAATATTCACTGTAAAATACAAATACCCGTTCACTAATATTTAGGGTCTGAACTTCTCAGGGCAGTGAATTTGAAAATTATCGTGTTCTGGAATGTGACACTACATAGTTTTATAGAAAGGTACCAACATTTCGGAGCACCACACCAGTTCTGGAGGCAGGCAGTTTCCCCATATCGGTCTACTGTCAGATGACTTCTACCAACAATTTTACAAATTTACTGCCATGCTGTGATCACAAGCTGAATGTTATATCTTTACTCTTCGCATTCCTTAACATCTTTTCGAGCAACTCACATATGGAACAACAGAATTTCCCACACCAGAGCAGCTTCTATTTCTATAAACTATTGCACAAATTAATTTTCAGTTGGTAGGAATGGAAATGGAAGCCAAAAGAATGGAAAACGGTTAACCGTGGCTGGGGGCATTAATTTCAATATTCAGGCTGGACAGCCAAGGAACTGGTTCGATTCCTGGCAGGGCTTTTCTTTTGTCCATAGCATCCAGACTGGCTCTGGAGCCCATCCTGCCTCCTCTCCAAGGGGCACTGGAGACTCGTTCCCCAAGAGAGAGCAGCAGGGCCATGAAGCTCACCACTCACCTTCATCCAGTGCTTAGGTTAAGAATATGCAGTACATGACATGGTGCTGAATTAATTAAGCATGGGGACAGCTTTACTTTGTACTATACTAAGCACCCAAAACAATGAGAACATACATTAATAAACCTACATATGTTTGCAACAAATACTTTAATTTCCCTTGGTAACATACTTACACCTGCTTTCAGGAGTTCGTTTTCGGCGAGTGGGAACTCATCTGAACTTGGAAATCATGGTGACCCCACTTAATTTTACAGCAGGTACACTGGATAACCCCCACCAGAAGAGCATTTGGCATGGGAATGACAACACAGATGCCTCCCTTGAAGCACCCAGGTAAATGTTTCCTCTTACAGTGAAAACTGTTCTCAACTTGACCATAAATTGTATACACCCGTCCATGGGTATTTTTATTCCTAGCACCATCCCTAACACAGCAAGACTGGAGAATGTGTATTGCATTGTGCAGAATGCAAAATTAGCTGTGATGTTCTCACAAGTACATTAAGCTTTTCAAAAAAATGCAAGTAATGTAATGCAAATTAGTGTTAGTCTGACAGATAAAAGTTCAGCAAAATCTGTGGAAGGACTCATGGAACACATAGAAAAGTCCATTTATGGTCTTATTTGAACTAGACTTTATTATGAATCAATACAGCTGAAAATCAGAATCTTACAACTTATGGTGAAAGTCACCCACATCAGATCTCAGCCATATCTGTGCAGTGGTTTATGGGGCACATGGAAAGTCCATTTATAGCCTGCATAAACGTAGCACTGATCAGTATGATTGAAAATAAAAACTTCCAAATTTTTTTATGAAAGTCTCCCATATTGAATATTAAAATGATCTGTACAATGGCTTAGCCATTGATTTCACGTCACAGATAGGCAAGACCTTCATAGAAGGCTTTTCATTTCTACTTTGAAGCAACACCTACAACTTATCTGTTCGCCCTTTATTACAGAAGTTTTACAAAGCCCTATTCAAATAAATGGCAGGACACCCTAAACAAAAGATCTGCAACCAACTGCATGCAGCAGAATCTTTCCCGACAAGCCATAGTCAACACTGAACTAATGTTTCATCTTCTCGTATGCCCTTTTTCATGTCTGTGCCTCTACACACAACTGCTGTAAGCTGCTTCTAAGCTCACAATCAGACTCAACTTGGCCACTGCTCAAATACCGCCTCTTGATAACTCCACGATACTTTTATGCAGGCAAAGTCATTCTGAAAACCTGCCATGTTCCCAGCCATCCCTTGCCATCAGCATAGTCTGTTCGGTTCCAAAAACTCTAAACCTGTCAGGGTGTGGTCAAGTCATCAAGTATCAAAAAAAGAGAGCCACACACACATATGCTCCCTCCCAAAGCCTGATTCAGCAACATTACTCGTATTTCTTTATCAACGTCTAGGCCTACTGGGTACCGTCTTCTTTTTGGACTGACATTCTGTACGCAGTTACCTTCTTTCCCATGCATGCTACATGCCTTGCTTATGTCATCTTCATAGGTTTGACAATTCTCATAATACAAGTATTTGGTTAAGAAATTGCTCATCATGCAGCTGTCTCCAAGCCAACACAGATATCCTGTTCGGAACTGATGCAGGTTGTGACAATCTTTAACTACATTAACGGAGCTTGGAGAACTACTTAAATCACATCACTTCTTCTGTAACTTTTTCCCACTCATAATTTTTCCATTTCTCTTAGATCCAATCATTTCCAACTTCATCATATTTTTACTATTAAAACTGTGTGATACACACACAGTGATGAGACAATTAACATGCTGTGAATTAAAGTGTTTGCTGAAACTGTAGAAGTGCCGAGGCCAAGAAAATGTGAATCTATACATCCACTCCCCCATACACTTTCATGGCATGGTGCTTAATTAGTAAAGTAGTGGGAGAACTTTACCTTTACTGAAACTGTAAAGATGTGAACTGAAAGCTCACTCAAAACATCTAGCAAATGAAAAGAAATGTTACAAATCAAATGGTCAATAACAGCCACATACCATTTTTAAAAATATCTGCTTTCGAAGCTGAAGATTGATATCTACATCATCACAAGTGAATGTACGGCCATATTACTACAAACAGGAATTTATATGTATCCGTCTTTTACAGGAAGAGACTGTATATCTCCAATCCTGATGTGCCGACATCTACAAATGATGGGTCTATTGTTGACTCACGATCAGACCAATTCCTGCTGTTTACACACTCTGATATAGATACAGATGCCGCACAGACTACAGTACCATTCCTGGATGCTCAGCCTGTGGCACCTGATCCACCTACTCTACTTGCTGGAGCTGGAATTTACCACAAGGGACGGTCAGGCTACGGAGGTTTTATAGGACCGAAAGTTGTGACATACGATTTTAATTCCCATATACAAGCTATATTTCCAATCACTAAAGATGAAGTGAACTGATTCAGATATTGGAAGCTTTTCCACTCAACCAGTAGGGCTGCGCTGTTTGTCCGTTTCAGTATTTGTATCCTTTGCAAGCAAAAATACTAATGTTGAACAAATACTTCTTCAGTACTATAGCTACAAATTCAAACAGTGTATATGGCTCTTTAAAATAAAGTTCAAACATAAATGCAGATTAACAACTTATTAAACAGGGGACTTCATTACTAGGAAAATGCTTGATAAATGAAATTGTGGTATTAGTAATAAAACTGTGATTAGATAATTGGTACTCCTGTTCTCTTATATCTTTGTATCATCAATAAAGATTTAAATGACTATACACTTTACTTCAAAACCAAGGACAGAAAACTTCTGATGCACACAGAAAGAAGTCGTGAAACTTCGTTATGAACCTTCTAACAGCGCTGGTGTATCTAGATACCTGCTTCATTAAGAGTGATTCTTGTTTCCCAGTATCATGGGACTTGTGACCATAATTTACTGTCTGATGGTTCTGGAAGCCTTCAGAACTCTTGACTGACTGGGCATCTGCTACATATAGACGTGGCATGGACTGAACAGAAAACACTGCTGCATATTTATTCATTGTCACTAAAATGTCTTTACTGCATCGCTGCCTAGCAACGGCCACCTCTTCTTGTTCAACTATTCTGACTTTCAGCCATCACGTCACATTGTTCCCTCCTTAAGGATAGTTGTCCTGAGTAGCCTACAGGATCACCATTCCTTCTCTGACGGGTATGCCTGTGACATCTGTGATCATCCTCAAGAACGGCATCTCAACGTTGTGCTGGCCTGGACACTTCTGTTTCCAATCTTGATGGCATGCAGACCTGATTCCTCATGGGGGGAGGGGGGGGTCTTGTGCTACTGTTCCCCAATTGCTCCTTTCTTAGGGCTGCACATGTCATGGTTCCCTGGTAAGGTGCCAGCCACTCCTGGTGTTACTACAATCATTTTTGTTCTGTGGTGTCCCATGCGGGCTGAAGAATGGGTGATGTTCCTCCAGTGCAGGTTGGACAATACAGCCACACTTGATTGGCCTCTTGGTAACCCAGAGAGTTGGCAAGACAGTTGTAGCACATTTTCATTCTGTCACTGGCCAGGTTTAGATGTTGGCTGGTGTAGGTATGGATGTAACTTAGCCAAAACACAAGGTCCACTGCATGGTTGATGGTGGGTGGAAGGACTGAACATCAGTCCATACAGATGTAGTTTTCCTAAAATTCGCAAACCTGACATTCCCAAGACTTATACAGTGAGTTCCATTGCTTCCCCTTCCTATACCCTGGCTGGTTTTCTTCATAAGATGTTAAGTCCTCTTGCTGGAAAATTTTAATCCTTCATAAAGAATTCAGGCCTCTTCATACAGTTGCTGAAATCTGTAAACCTTTAATCTATAGATACTCTCATTAGCTTGGATGTTGGTACTCTACCAGTGGACAAAGTCCTACAAGTCATCAGAAATAAGCTCCCTAACGATGACACATTGGCAGAACAGTCTTGCAGGTCGAAGCCATGATGGAATTGCTGGAAGTTTGCTGAGAACCACATATTTTCAGGTAGATGGTAAGTTTTTCCAACAGAAAGATGATACGGCTATCGGAAGTTCTCTAACAACCACTGTTAGCAACATCCTCATGGAACATTTTGAGAAACTGGGTTTTGACTTGGTGCAATACAAACGATCACTGTGGCTTTGGTATGCTGATGACATATTTGTTGTCTGGCCTCATGGCCCAGAGCGGTTACAGAATTTCCTCAACCACTTCATTAGTCTAAAGTCATCCATTCAGTTTACTATGGAAACAGAGTCAGACAGTGTGATTTCTTATCTGGATGTCCATCATAGAAAACCCACACACACTCGGGCCCATAGCTCAATTTCAAATCCGAACATCCCCCACATGTTAGAAGATGATTGATACAGTGTCTTTACAATATAGCTTCCACCATATGCCAAGAACGACAAGATCTGTCTAATGAAATCAGCAACCTAAAGCAGGGTTTTCAGCTCAACAGTTATCAGATCTAAAAGTTATCCCCAAGGTTTCACTGACTTGGTTATTAATTCCAAGGATAGCAGTCATCCGAATAACGAGGAAAAGCTTCTGAAATGTGTGTATATCCCATATGTGAAGGGCATTTCAGAAAAGTTCAAATGCACAGTGAATTGTTATAACATTACAACCATCTTCAAAACTAAACACTACATGGGTTCACTCATGACAACCGGGCCGGAAAGAGATCCAAAACACACAGCATTCCCTATGAATGTGGCAAAAACTGCACTGGCAAAACAGGCAGACCTCTAACTGTGGGGCTCCGCAAACACAGGCGCAATCTCAAAGAATGTCTTTTAGAAAAAGTAGAATTAGCCCAACATGCCTATGAAAAGGGTCATAGGCTGGGATAAAGCTAGGATTTTGGAAATTAAAAGTAGTAGCAGGCATAGGAAATACAAGGAATCGGCCCATATGGTATGCTTAACTAATGAACTCAGCCAATCCAGTCTGGACGTTTCTCCTGTTTGGATCCCTCTTATCAGCAATGGGGTTAGCAACTTGTACGGAAGTTTTCACAGGTACAATTTTAGTCCCAGGGTTCAGGTTATATTCCACAGATGGCACTAACAGTAGGCAAAAAATAGTTTCAAACCATGAAATTCTCCAATTAATTGTGTGCAATGGTTTTCATGGACTTGGCTTGTTGGCTAGGTTTGCTGCATAATATTCCCTCCTCCTTTCCTATCTTGTTTCAGGTCTGTGCATGCATTATCAGTTATTGTTGTACATTTTCCTCTTTTCTTCCACTGAAAAAGTCTGATCTCAGGTATTTATATAGCTGTAGTTATGACATAGGCTGTCCTGTGATTGAGGTTAACTCCTAACAAACCCAACAGAATAGGTGTTTCTCACCCATCACCTGAGGGCAGAAAAGACCCAGTTTCTGAAACACTGTGTTCTTTTGTGTTTTTACAATACCAGACTGTAGGCAAGGTCCAAATACCTGGTAATCCTGAGTAGGATTACACAGTTCTGCCTGTTGTCTTGTGTGGGTACAAAATTTTCTCTCACATTAAGGAAAGAACAGGGTCTAAGGATGTCAGAGAAGAGGGTCCTGTTGTCTTGTGTGGGTACAAAATTTTCTCTCTCACATTAAGGAAAGAACAGGGTCTAAGGATGTCAGAGAAGAGGGTGCTGTGGAAAATACTGGGACCCAAAATGAAGTAACAGTAGGCTGCAGAAATTTGCATAATGAGGAGCTCCATAATTTATAATCATCGCCGAACAGTAGAAGGGTTATTCAAAAGAAACCGGTTTGGGAAATGTTGTGGGCGAATCAACAGAGGCTGTGAAAACAGTGCCCATGGGTGCTGAGTCTGGCATCCCCTCTATAAATAACTCCCTGGTCTGCTGCTGGCACCACTGTACGATCATGACCTCAACACCCTGGCTCATCCCAACTCTAGAGCCTTCTGGCACTTTCTTGAGGAGTCACATGTGACCAGGTTTCATTTGAATAACCTTCATACTGCAATCATCAAATTAAGGAAAGTGGCATGGGTTGGGTATGTAGGAAGCATGGGAGAAAGAAAAAGAGATACATACACAATTTTGGTGGGAAAACATGAAGGTAAGAAACGAGTCAGAAGATGATGGGAGAATACTGAAATGGCTCTTAAAGAAATATGTTGGGAGGGTGTGGGCTGGGTTCTGCAGTAGAATAGGGACCACTGGCAGGATCTTGTGAAACAATAATGAAACTTCAGATTGCATATGATAATAGGAATTTCCTGGTTGGCTGGGCAGCTATTAACTTCTCAAGGACTCCAATCTATCGAGTTAGTTTAGAAATACATGTACTTCATACAAGTAATGAGGCATGTGAAAACTGTTTTCATACTTGCATGCTCCCTCACACAGATGCCTGATACTTCCAACTTCATCAGCAGTGATCCCATAGGCATGCATTCCAGACACTGCCACCAGGGTTCCAGAAATGCAATTCAGATTTACCAGCCACTATAGAAAATATAAGGAGTATACTTCATACACGTTTCTGTTATGCTGCCTATGGTAAGGAGGTAACAATATTTCTGGAACCCTGGTGGCATACATAGGATGTTGTTGGTCCTACCTGGACGCGAAGTGGATGCATCATGATGAGCTTCAAAACATCCATTGGTGGCAGCACATCCTTGAGAGAGAGTCCCTGATGTTTGATGGCCTGGCACATGAACACTGCCAAATAGCGATGTAACGGCAGATGGAAAGACACTTGGAGGTTATCATCCTGTGAAAAAAAAAAAAAAAAAATAATAATCTAACAAACATGAAAGTCAATGGAAGAAATTCACTGGTTGAGTGTTCAAATCCAGTGCCCCCTTCTCCCAAAGAGAATTATCATGTGAGAATTTTAAGTGTGTTGGTATCAGTTTTATGACCGCCTCTGTGGTCTAGTGGTCAAAGTTCCTGGCTACAGATCCAGAGGCCTGGGTTCGATTCCTGGTGCTACTATATTTTCTAAGTAGTGGGTCTGGAACGGGGTCCACTCAGCCTCATGAGGACAAATGAGGAGCTATTTCATGGAAATAGCGGCTTTGGTATAGAAAACCGAAAATAACAGCCATGGGGATTTGTTGCGCTGACCACGCAACACCCTCTATCCACTAAGTTGGCACTTACTTCGCTGACGAGCGGTGGTAGCTTGGTCGGTATAGTTCACTTGAGGACTAAAACCACTGAGTTTCTTTTGTTTTGATATTAGTTTTGTCATATTGTTAACAGCCACATGGGGGGGGGGGTGTTTCACCATGTGGTTTATTTTATAAATTCCACATACTATTACATGTCTAACAACTCTGGGAGTGTGTCAGCTCAGACAGTGACACTGTCATAAGAAAGTTACTAAAGTCTATTTTCAACATACTACGGGAACCAGTGTACATATGTATTATTGAAATCTGTTCCACTGTGAAAGTTCAGAAAATGGGACTGTTGGTACATTCGTACCTTAAATATTTGGGCACCTCAAGATGACTCCGCACTGTTGAAACATGTCACCCATTTTGTATAATATGTATTATATGGCTGTACATGTTTTACGGGTTGTGTTACACAACACAATGCATCACTATACAGTCAACTCTCGATTATCCGGGGGCGGATTAACCGGTTTGCGGCTTAACCGGGGCTTTTTTTTTTAAGTTTATATGTTGTTTAATATTCATTCACTTTTGTTTCACATGGTGAGTTTAACACTATTTTCGCACTAGTGTGAACCGAGCTCTGCATTATTTCGTCCCGTTATGCGAACACAATGTTCTAGGGTGGGGGTGAAAGAATGCAAGAATTTTTGGAAAGTTTCAAGGACAAATACACCGCCCCAGGTTATTTAACGGTACCATCTCAGTGTGAGAGTGCATTGTGAAAGTAAGTAT